ATAAGTAATATAAAATGAGAAAAATTGGGAAAACCTTAGAATATGTCTAGAGTTTCGAATTAAGGAACCAAAGTTGTGCAAACCTTTAATATGTTTTACAGTTTCAAATTAACGAGATTGTCAAATGTCAACTTTAGGAGAATACATTCAATGGAGATGCCAAGATGGTAGTGTCTCAAACTTATCTCATATTGTCATATGTTTTAATTTTCTTGCATGACTTCACATGAGCAATTTTGGACACTATCACTTTGGTGTCCCGTTCATGTAAATCCTTCCTAGTCATTAGAGCCTAGAAAAATCATTTGTACAGTAGCTAATTAATTGATAACCTAGTTTACATAAACCCTAAAGGCTAGCTGGGCAATATATAGTAAACTAATTGTGGTTAGGTTGTGAATCCACGTGGGCCTCGTTTAGCGCTAAACACAGTCTACTTATAAAATACGCTTCGGATACAATTTTTTTTGTATCATATTTGTGTACCATTTGATGATGTGTATATGTTATGTTAATTAATAAATTTATCTTATTGGATGTTGATTGTATCCATTACTTATCACAATAAATGGTACACTAATGTAGTATAAAAGTATGATCTCTCTAACATTACTCATCTACTTATAGATAAATTTGGACAACATAAATATTGCTACTCTAGTCGCACCGTCTAAAAACCCTTTTTCTACTATTTCCTTCATAAATTTTTTTTTACAAATGATAGTATCTACACTGAGGGGTGGGGGAGTAGGCTAAGGCTTACAATGAGTTTACCATAATATGTGGTTTAACTCCACATTTAGCGAGAATCAAACATAAGACCTCTCACTTACAAGTGAAAAAGAATACCACTAAATCATAATATTAAGTGGCTCCTCCATTCAATAATTCACATTTAATATATATATATATATATATATATATATATATATATATATATATATATATATATATATATATATATATATATATATATATATATATATATGACAAAGAAGATCCCCATCGGATCTTAGAATCGCACATATCAAAATATAAAAAACTATGAGCAACGAAAAAAAATAAAATTCATAAATTGTTTACAAGACTGATAATAAGCATATCCTGGTGAAGGAAAACCATATGATGTCAAATTTCCTTCACGATAAATACGTCTTAGAGAAATTTGTGGAATTTGTTGGAGTGGGAACCATATCCGTTGATACTGAAGAAACACTCCATGGGACCTGAATCTTCTTTTGAATTGTTTGTATTTAAAATCTTCGAAATCTTCTTTTATGATGACTCCTTCAAGTTTTATACGAACTACTCAGTGAAGAGCTTGTTTGAGTACTAAAGGTTCTGCTTGTGAAACAGAAGAAAAACTTACTGTTAAAGAACTATATTGGGCTTTTAGAGATAGTGGTTTTGTCTTCTTCTTCTTCTTCTCTCTCTCTCTTTTTTTTTTTTTCCAAATAGTGGAGTTGTCAGTGATGGTGATTTGTATCTTATATTACTGTCCAATTTTTTTAACTTACATCGTTTCAATTAAAAAAAAAGGTAAAATTTTTTAGGAACTCCAAACCTATAATGCGATGAGCTTTGATGAATTAGTTTTTTTTGGTTGTACCTCAAACATTGCCACATAATGTTATAATTCTACTCAAATGCTATGAGTTTTAATGAATTAATTTTTGAGATAAACAGATATTGAAAGAGGAAAAATGCGAACCAAAGACCTTGAATACAAAAAAAAAATAATAATAAAAAAAAACTTAACTAACTACATTACAAGTCATTTTCATTCACTCACTTATATCTAAAAATTTAGTTTGAGAACTTCAAACTAAAAAAAAAAATAAAAAAATAAAAAAACAGGAAACAAGGTATTACATGATCGGATGGACTTGTTGGATTGGTACATCCACCAATTGCCACCACCAATTACAATTGCACACTGATTTCACACCCACTAGGTTCTTAACTGATGTTTATGTTTTCATTTGAGTTATCGTTTGAATGGAACGAATTATGGACAAGGGCAGACGGTTTACCCATACTTTTCTTGATGTTGTAATTGCACGGCATTATTGGCCTCAGACTAAAAACTCTCTTTTTAATTTTCCATGAAAAGAATCAACATTAACAATACAAAAAAGAATCATGCTATATAAACTTGTATTTAGAAGGGGTCATATAACTATTGAACTTGCTCAATTTAATAAGGCATCTACGTACCATGTCGTCCAATAGAAATATACTTTTTATATACCCATAAGAGTAATGTAACTATCAAAGCCTGCTTTAACAATATGTGTTAAATTTTTCTAGTCGTTTTCAATATCCAATTAAAACACTAATCATTTAATTTGAATTACTTTTAAAATAATTATAATATTTTTTATTATTAAGTGTTTTTGACCTTGTTTGATAGAAAAAATTAAAAGCATTTCTAAGTTAAGAAAACCATACAAAAAAAGTTTATTTTTCAAAAATTTCGTTGAGCTTATAACAAAAACGTATATAAGCAGAAGTCCTCGTTTGAAAAGCATAATGGATCCTAAAGCCATCAAATTGACTAAAGGTTTTTGATGAAGTTGGTTTGATCCATAATAATAAGATAGTTTAGTTAGCTTAATGTGAATTGCTAGGATCGTAGGCTGGCCAATTATCAAGCTTTCATCTTAACTGCTAACCTGAAAAGCAAAAGCAACATTATAATTTTGTAACTAAATATGTACACATCGTGTAATACGTACTTATGGCGTATGATCGTATCAAGACCTACACTTCAACGACATATCCTTTTAAGGACGTATAAGCTGCATTACATGGCGCATGTGGGCGCTTTAACAACTTACTAGTTATATCAATTTGTTGTAGCCAAATGAGGGTATGCCAGCTTGACGTTTACCAACTGCCCTTTATATTAATAAAAATGGTTTAAACTGTTCCATCTACCGTATAAACTGCTTCTAATGAGAAGAATTATGAGCTTAAAACAGCAAGGTCTAATAAATTACACTATTTAGTTCACACAGAAATGGACCTCTATGTTTGCTAAAACAAGGTTGTACGTACCAAACATCATTATAAACACATGAAAAAAGAATAAATTAATTATAAAATTATTACTTACTGCTATAATTCGTTTTGTCCTAGTATTGCTATTGGTCAATGTCACCGGTACTGTTTGAAAGAATCGAACTAATTAATACAACAATCAATATTGTGGCTTTAACATTAGTTTATATTGTCCCACTAATTAATTTCTGATTGCCATTCTTTTTATTTATTGGATGCTCATTTTAATTACCTTAATGGAAAAATTAGGTTTCCATCTCTAATTTTTTTATTTCATTGATTAAGATCTTATTCTTTTTCAACTTTTTATCAAGGAATTTTGGTTTTTATCCAAATTATTATTTTAATAATTAAATATTTACATGTCAACATATTTAAATTCTACAAGTAAAATTATTTAACCATTTCCAAATACAACTATTTAGTGTTAGTTACATTTGGTATATTTATATTTTTATTTTTAACGTGTACTCATTTTTTAATTTACAACCATATTATTAAGAATTATTAGAATCCCTTACATTTTTTTTTTAACTTGTTTAGACTAAATATCTATTCCTTTACAAAATTTAATTAAGATGCTTTGATCAATTGCCAACTCAGCATTTTTCTGTTTATTTTATATACACTTAAGCTAGCTAAAAACTAAGTTCCTACAATTAATCTAGGAATTTTAAATTTATAGATTTATTAAAAATATTAATTTAACTAATCCTCATTTGTCACTAAAAAAAATAAACTTTTTCTTTCTATTATTATGTTTAATTACTCTCTTCCTTTATTAAAAAAAAAGTCATTAATACTTTCATAAGAAAAATTCATTAATTTGCTAAAATTTTACATATAGTTATATAAAAAAATTTAAAACTTATGGTACATTTAAAAATAAACGTGCTGAACATTTGGTATGTTTAGATTTTAAATGTACCAAGAAACAAAACGTACCAGAAATCCAAATGTACCATAAAAAATCAAATGTACCTATATTATAGGTAATCAAGCGTATCAATATAATCAAACAAACCTCTAACAAAATTATAAAAAACAATGTTTAATCAAATTCTTAAAAGGAATAGATACTTAATCAACAAAATTGAAAATGAGGCGCCTATATCAAACACTCCTATTTTTAATTTGTACCCATATATTTAATTTATTTTTGTACCCATATTTTTAATCTTTTATTTGTACACATAATTATTTTTAATCTTTTATTTGTACCCATATCTTTATCATGTAAAATAAAATGTCTGATCAGATTTCACATAGTTTAAATTTGAAAAAAATTAAAAAAATTAAAAATCCCTATTTGGTATTAATCTTTGCATGATTTTAGAGAAGAATTATAAATTTTCGTTATTCAATTTCTTAATTAATAGTGAAATTAAATATTTGCTCCTTCAATCAAAGTATTAATTCAAATTAATAAAATTTGAGTCTAAGGTTTTGGTAAACTAGGGACCGTAACCAAAGTTTTCCTTAATAATATTTTAAAAAATAGACGGCAAGCCATATGAGTATTACGTCGTAGAGATAACACTAAGGTATTTTATGACAAAACTTATCCCACATCCAATAATAAGTGGTTAAGATGAGAATAAATCGGTAATAATGGTGGTACACTATGTATTGTCTAAAATATTTATTACCATATTCCCTGCACTAGGAGAAATGTCCCTTTTATTAAAACTATAAGCTGCCCAAAACTTCAGGTCTTGATTAACATGGTTCAATGGATTAAGTATATATATGCATGTTTAAATAAATAAATAATTAGATATGTGTGTGCGTGTATGAGAGGGAGAGATAAACAGTTGGGAATTTGAGGGTGAGGTTTAATTGTAAGCCAATGACATAACAAGAAAAGGCTCATTTGGCTCTACAGGTTTCATGTAGATATAGAGGATTAATGTGTCGTGTAAAACCAACAAAAGTGACTGCCCATCCATAACCCTAAACCGACCCCTCACTTTATTCCTCTTTGTTCTGCAATATTTTCTTTTCTCTATATATCTTTGTGGACTCGCAGCTGCTATAAACTTCCCTGTGGTGGTGTAATTGATCATCATGTCCTAGAAGAACAACTGTCATATAATAGCTAAGCTACCTCATCAAATTAAAGACCGTTTACATGGAGGATTATGGGGATGAAGCAAAGAGTACAGGTTGCCCACGTGGACATTGGAGGCCTGCCGAGGATGAAAAACTCCGGCAACTTGTCGAGCAATACGGTGCACAGAACTGGAACTCTATTGCTGAGAAGCTTCAAGGAAGATCAGGTATAAACCTCACCATGTGTTTGTGTTTGTTTTGTGTTTGTGCTTAATTGCTGTTGTGTCGGTTTGGGAAAACTCTCTTGGATTTTTTTTCTTAACCAGCTCTGTAACCTAATATTCTCTTTAATTAATTTGGACCATGAGCGTCTTACGACTTAATGAATTAATATGAAAATACACGCGTGCTTATACACACACACAATTTGGGAGATGATATATACACATGCCTTAATTTTACCCAACATGTTTCCTGATTTTTTTTTTTTTAATTAATCTTTGATAGGAAAGAGTTGTAGATTGAGGTGGTTTAATCAGCTAGACCCGAGAATCAACCGAAGGCCGTTCAGCGAGGAAGAGGAAGAGAGGCTTCTGGCAGCACATCGCATTCATGGAAACAAGTGGGCGCTGATAGCAAGGCTTTTTCCCGGTCGGACTGATAATGCTGTGAAGAATCATTGGCATGTTATAATGGCAAGAAGGCAAAGAGAACAGTCCAAAGTTTGTGGGAAGAAAAGTTTCCAAGATTTCTTTAACGATCACTCACCAAATTCCTCCTCAATTTCCAACAATTTTGATGCAAGCAGGAAATTAAGATCCCAAGGATCATCAATCGGGTTTGGTCGGAATAATATTAGTACTAAGTTCCTTGAATTCCAAAACCCGAATAAAGATAGGGCAATGTTCATGGATTCAAGGCCTACTAGCTCCTTTCCTTATAATTGGAACTTTGCTTCAATGTCAACAACATCAAACAACTCATCTTCAGTGGATTTATTGGGAAGAGAAAGAAGAGATTACATCAACAATGGTAGTTCTAATTATACGATTTCTGAGCTCTCGAAAGGTTCGCATCCTCAACTCGTTCATCGTAGACATAATCCGACTTCCTCATTCCTGTATGGTTGCTATAGGGGTTCTTCTAGTAATGCATTTGGGCGTCCAACTTACAGTAGCCCTTTTGGGTGCCCCAGTAATCATGCCGACCGTCTTATTAATCGTCAGGATCAACACGGAAGTACGTTCAAGGAAGTGTTGCCTAATCTTTATGAGAATGCATCAACGTTGCCAAAGTGGAGGGTTGCAGCTACAACTACTAAATTTGATGACCATGATCCTCAAGATCACGTGTCTATCGATCATCACAAGGAAACTCCCTTCATAGATTTTCTTGGTGTGGGGATCTCTTCTTAATAATCATGCCCAAACTATGGAAATTTAATTTAATATTTTTTTTATATTGTTGTATTTTCAAAAGGGAGGGCATGCAGATATTTAGGATATATTATAGCAGTTAATATATTATGACCGATGATACTTACCCTAGTTCTTGTATTTAGGGACACCCGCCACCGGTTTGTAGTTGCTAGTACTCAAATTAGTTCTCTAGGGTTGAGGTTTTCAAGAATCAAATATTTAATATATGTTGTCCTTAATGATAAAAAAGTTGTTGATGATTTTCTCTGCTATTTGTCTCATTTTAATCAATGCCAGATAGCAAAAGGATGATCATTTTAATTTTTTCAATGAAATGTAGGCTTTAAGTACTCCATTCAAGCAGCAGTTCATAGCTGTATGTATTACATTTTTGGCATATGACATTGATGTTCATCACCATAGATAATGCAATTTTCATGGTTTTCAAACAGTGCGAGCACCTGGAACCTGCATCTTTTCCTATCTTAAGATAGTCTAACTTAGAGCATCGAAAATCCCTTTTAGAGAAATCTCTAGGAAATTCCAAGTCATACTTCCCATAAAAGTAGTTCAGTGCCTCTAGAGTCATTTTTCTTTGAACTTCCTTTCAGGGCAACTCTAAGGCAAGTTGCAAACCTTATATACATTTACCCTTTTAACTTATAATGTCCATTTTTTTCTCTCATATTTTATCATGTGAATTCAAAAGGTTAACGTCATTCTTTGGAATTAATATCCAATCTTCATATGGGCAACAAGCAAGCCATATATAATGCATGCTGTCACCTATCAAAAGAAAATTTGAAATCCTTAACTATCATTGTATACAAGTGATGTGATGCACGAATTGCCAATGAAGACTTGAACTGTATTTATTTTGTCTCAAAGTTTCGGTAAGAAATGTCTGGATTTGTGGACATGCAACATATAAATAAATCGGAACTCTTCTTTGTTGTTCTTTTTCCCCGGGGTGTAGTCTCATTTTGCATAGATGTTCTTGAAAACCATTTTATCAATAACCTTCTACATTTTATTTATTTATTTTACTTACATTGTGTTCTTTTCCTTTTTCTTAATTGCTTCCAGTATGCTATCATCAAAAGCTTATAAAATAAAAAATAAAACTATTTAAACACACAAAAGTGACGCACATGCTGTTACATTTTTTTTTAACAAATAATACTTTAACATGATATATACGGAGGCAGAACTATATCAGTGTGCGTCATTTTTATATGTCCAGTAACACTCTAACCTAAAACGCTTATATGTCCACTAATTCTTTTTCTTCTCATGATATATTCACTGAATCAAGAACGACCGCCATATTTGACTAAGCCATATCTTAGTCTACTCCGTGGTATCTAGATGATGAATGATTGACTTGTATGACTTACCTTGGGAAATTCCTATTTTGTCTATCATTTTGTTTATTTATTTATTTAGTATAAGTGAAGGTTTAAATTCGGGATGCAATGACCCAGTAGGTTAAAAAAGAAGTTCCTAACCATCACGGTAATCCACGCCATCAAGTAAACAAGATAGTAAATTTCAACTAAAGTGATAAGTTGGCTAAGTACTTGAGTCCTGAGAATGATATGCCGAAGCAAACTGAGAGACAGAATCCCACCATGAATAATCTCTAGTGGTCAGCACCATAATTCGCTAGGGAGTCAGCAACTTTGTTACCTTCCCGGAAAATGTGAGATATGGAAATGCAATCTAGAATCACGGCACATACAATTTACCCAACCATTACGTAGCTTCCAGTGAATAATAGGATAAGGTGAAGTAAAACACTGAACCACTAAAGAAGAGCCTGTTTCCAATCATACATGGTGCCACTGCCAATCACGCACCCATGCCACACGGATTGCCTCCAAAACTGCAAGAACTTCAGCTTCAATAGTAATATTAGATAAAAGTGTTTAGGGTTTGAATTGTAAGTTTATTCTTCTCTCTAGGAGGTAAATATATAGTTGTACAATATCCCACATAACAGGAAAAAATCCCAATTATACAAGGAATAAATTATAGGATTAAATTCCTAAACTAAATGGTTGACTCACGCCAACACTCCCCCTCAAGTTGGTGCATAGATATCTCCTAAGCCCAACTTGTCAAGTGAGTCTTGAAACACCCTCGCTGAAACCGCATGAGTTAACACATAAGCTGATTGTTCTTCAGACCTCATGCATGGAATATCAATCAATTTGACATCTAACTTCTCTTTGATGAAGTGTCTATCTACCTCCACATGCTTTGTACAATCATGCTGAACGGGATTATTTGCTATTTCTCTCGCAACTTGATTGCCGCAGTATAATAACATAGCTCCTTGAGGTTTGAACCCAATCTCAGTGAGAAGAATCCTGAGCCATAACAATTCACAAATTCCATGTTCTATCCCTCTGTACTTTGCCTCGGCCGTGGATCTAGCCACTACATTTTGCTTCTTGCTTCTCCAAGTTACCAGATTTCCTGCTACGAATGTGAAGTAGCCTGATGTGGAGCGACGATTAGTAACGTTTCCCGCCCAATCAGCATTTGTATACCCCTTTACCTCCATATGTCCATGCTTCCTAAAGATCAGTCCTTGACCAGGTGCAACTTTCAGATAACTCAGTATACTCATCATTGCTGCCATGTGATCTTCACTAAGAGCATGCATGAACTGACTTACAAAACTAACTGCATACGCAATATCCGGACGTGTAAGTGATAGGTAAATCAGCCGTTCTACCAATCTCTGATATCTTTCTTTATTGGTAGGAACTTGATCCTGGTATATCGCCAGGTGATGATTCTGCACAATGGGAGTTTCAACTGGTTTACAAGCTAACATTCCAGTTTCAGAGAGAAGATCTAGAACGTACTTCTGCTGAGACAAGTAAATACTATCATGAGAACGAGCAACTTCAATACCCAAGAAGTATTTCAAGCCTCCTAGATCCTTCATCTCAAATTCTGATGAAAGATACCCTTTCAGCCTTTTTATCTCTTCTGTGCCATCACCAGTAAGTACCATATCATCCACATAGATAATTAACAAAGTAACTTTACCTCCCATGTGTTTGATGAATAGGGTGTGGTCCATATTTCCCTGTCTATAGCCATACTTTTTCATTGCTTCAGTGAACCTTCCAAACCATGCTCTGGGTGATTGTTTGAGTCTGTAGAGAGCCTTTCGGAGTCTACATACTTTCCCTGCTTCATTCGGTGTTTCATATCCGTGTGGAATATCCATGTATACTTCTTATTCCAGATTTCCATGTAAGAAAGCATTCGTCACAGCAAACTGTTTCAAAGGCCAGTCTAGGTTAGCTGCTAAAGATAAAAGGACTCGAATAGTATTCATTTTTGCGACCGGAGCAAACGTTTCTTAGTAGTCAACTCCAAATGTCTGTGCGTACCCTTTAGCTACCAATCTTGCCTTATATTTGTGAATGGATCCATCCGCATTCTGTTTTATGGTGAACACCCATTTACATCCCACTAGTTTCTTCCCTTGTGGTAGTGACACTACATTCCACGTTCCGTTCTTTGTAAGGCTTCCATTTCTACTCTCATGGCTTCTACCCAACGGGGGTCTCGCAAAACCTCTTCCACTTTTGTTGGAATTTTAATCCTAGCCATTGATTCACCATGGCTTAGTACTTGGGTGATAGTCGATGAGTGGACACATACTGTGCAATTGCATATCTCACTTTTCCTTCTGGGGAAAACCTGTTAGGTGGCTTCCTACTGTTTTGCCTAGCAGGTAAAATATAGGAATTTTCAACAATATTTGGAGTATGAGAACGTACCTCTTGGATATCCACGGGAACATGAACGTGTACTAGTGGAGGAGAATAAGGGTTATTTTTTGTTTGCACAGTCTCGGTATCACTCGCGGACCTATTACCTTCTACTAAATCCATAAATGGTGTAGGCCTGTTATTTGATGTTGCATAAGCTATCTCTTGGTCAGGGGTTTCACAGTCAAGATCCACTGGGTTTTGGCTTGTTATGTCATTGGCCACTACCGGGTTCTGAACTGCAATGTCGTGGCCTACTATTGGGGTTTGAACTGATGTGTCGCGACCCTCTGGTAAGGCGCAGTTAGGTGGATTGCTCATAACACCTAAGTTTTCAGTCTCGGTCTCGCCTGTACTACTGGGACCATACCAACTGTCTCGTTCATGTGGAACATTAAACACTGTAGTCTTCATATTTATTATTCAACTCCCCTTGAAGAGTACAGTGGGTTTGATCAAAGATGAAGAACATCTTGTTTTCGGAAAAAGTGACATCCATGGTGACATAGAAATGCTTAATAGGTGGATGGTAACATCGATATCCCTTTTGTTGGCTATTAAATCCCAGAAATACACAACGAACAGCACACAGATCCAATTTAGTCCGTTGATTCTTATGAAGATGCACATAAGCCACACAGCCAAATATGCGAGGTGATAATTGAAGAGAAGATGGTAGAGTGACATAATCCGTCAAGACTTCCATGGGAGTTCGGAAGTTGTAAACTCGAGAGGGCATTCGATTAAGAAGATAAATGGAATATGTAACTGCATCCGCCCAATAGGCATGAGGAACATGAGCCCTAATTAGAAGAGCCCGTGTAGTTTCCAAGATATGTCTGTTCTTACGTTCTGCCACACCATTTTGTTGAGGAGTTTGAGGACAAGTAGTCTCGTGAAGTATGCCATGCTCTGCGAAAAATTGTGATAGTTCAGAATTAAGATATTCTCCACCATTATTGGATCTCAGGACTTTAATAGGAAGAGAAAATTGATTTCCAATCATCCGATAAAATTTTTGGAAAATTTGCCCAATGTCACTTTTCTATTTCATGGTATAGAGCCAAGTCATTCTGGTGCAATCATCTACAAAGGTAACAAACCACCGAATACCGTGGCGCGTCGCTATTGGTGAGGGACCCCATACATCGGAGTGAATTAACTCAAAGAGCACTGATCTTTTATTAAGACTTAAGTGGTAAGAAGAATGATGACTTTTTGCAAGAATGCAATCTTGACACTAAAAATCAGAGTCTGAAACGCCATTAAATAAAGACGGAAGTAATTTTCTTAAATAGCCAAAAGATGCATGTCCTAGTCGACGATGCCATAACTAGATTCTCTTAACCTTGTTGTTATGACCACTACTCACTTGGTTGACTCGGATCGGTACCACATCATCCACATAATATAACCCTCTCCTCTTAGTACCACGCCCAATGATCGCCCGTGTTTTGATATCCTTTAGTAGGCAA